AGAGTCGGGAGTACTTAGATGCCTCGCTCGGAGCCCAACAGTTTCGGAATTCTTTGGACTTCCTTACGGTGCGCGGTGGGATACGAAGCCGCGGGCACAACTAACTCGGCAAACGTAGTTGTAATGAAGAAATAACGGCAGTTCGTCTTCATTAAAGCCCACGGGTCGTCGCTCGTTCACTTTCGAATGAAAATTTCGGTAATAATTGTCATTTCTCGTTCCCTCATAATACCGTCGACTTTAAATACCATTAATTATATAAATGCCTACTTACAGCGACTTTTCATTAAAGAATCCGAGTCTCGAGAGACACTTGTAAAATCACATCTCGAGGATTATTTCTCGAGTTGACGAGCGCTCGCTATCCCGCCTCTCTGCATTTCCGTCGAGACTGGCCTCTATGTTATAACGGGCGCGAATATTTCCGCGGAAGACGTTCCGTCCCGAAACTTACTTCTGAAATTACTTTCATTCTTCGGTCGGGATAATAACCCGGTTTCATTCCGCGCGTTAATACAACGGCGACTTTTGTGGCCGGAGAGAGGCTAACTTTTCTCTCAAACGTACTTTTACGTGATGGCATCGTTCGATGCAAGTTGCCTCTGCCACAAAGCCGATTGCGGCATCGAGCCGATCGACATTTCCGTTCGGATACCTTTGCGACGACGAAATCTTTCCGCTCGCGTAACAACGTTACTCTCCACTAGTTTCAATTCTTCGCGAATAGCGAATTTCCTTTCTCGTAAAAGATCCGCAAGTTTTCTTCTTTGAAGTTGTCATCTGAACGACATGATCCACGAAAGTATGTCGCATTTTTATTGTACCAGAATGTAACATGGAAAATAATTTCGGTTCGTTTACTCTACAGAAGTCGCGCCACGAGTAAAATTATTTAACTAACTGGAATCATTTTTTCTCGTAATATATAATAAAAATGATCAAAATTTTCCTAATATTCAACATAAGAACTTAGTATTTAACTCTTACATGAAAAGAAGTTTTTATTTAACATCAGTATATTTAATTAAAAGATTAATAATGCAAGAAGTTAGGAACATTTCATGGATGATTACAATAATTTTGAGAAGAAAACTATTAACTTCTACTTTCGGAACTGTGATGTGCTTATTTCATATCGGCATTGCAGGAGCAACGATTAACTCGCGTTCGTCGTTCTTCGCGAACGAAATCCTCACGGACTTCATCAGGGATTTTACTCTCGTCGGTTCGAGTTCTTCTTCGATGGTCGCTTGAGCTTACTCGGGGCGACGAAGTTTAAATTGTTTTCGAAACAATGGCTGCATTCCATTGACGGAGCGAATATTTGATGCAACCACTTACATAAGATAATTTATCTTGTAGTTTTAATCGCCATTATTTTCGTGTTAATCAATGTGATAGTTATAATTACAACAAAATATTATAATTAATGTATTTTAGTATTTCTCTAATATTTGATTTTACAAAATTAGCTATTACATTATAATTAATGTAGCTATAAATTTTGTAAAATCAAATATTAGAAATATTGAAATACATTTGATGTTCTTGATGTTTACAGAATATTTTTTCAGAGTACTTATGACCAAATCTTAGGAAATCAGGCGAATTTGCGATGAAACTATTGCACATTACACATTCCATAGCAAAGTAAAGCTGCATGTCGGTACAGACTCCATTATGACTGATCGAAAGCAAATATTTGCGAGAGAATATCAAAGTTACAGAGCAGAGGGACATAGATGGTTTATCTTATCGCATCGTTGCACATCAACTATCTTTTAGTTTGCATAATAAAGCCGAATAAATTTGCGTATATTGCTTAAACATTCTATGGTTCATAATGATGGTTAATGATAAAGTAATGTCGTGATAATTGACACGTTGCATGAAAATTATGCTGCTATATGCCTGCGACAATGTCATAACTTTTGACTTGATTTAATTGAGAGACATACTGTCAGTATTATATAAAACGTGTCCTTCGTGTCCAAAAATGGTAAAATTAATTTTCATTTTGCTCCAATTATCCCTCTTTAATTGAGACATACTGCCAGTGTTATATAAAACGTGTCCTTCGTGTCCAAAAATGATAAAAAATTAACTTTCATTTTGTTTAATTAGCCTTCAGCCATTTTTTCTCCATTCTTTCTTTCTCTCAGTTAATTAGTTATTATATATGAAAAATATTGAAGAAAACCGCGAACTCTTAAATACCGTTATATAAAGACAATTAATTCTTCGAGGTCTGTGAAATTGCATAGGACGACTGTTTTCAATCTCCAGAGTATCGAACGCGGTTTCGGCAACTGGCCGATCATATCGGTCACGTACCTCTCGCCTCTTCTCCCCCCCTCCCCCGTCGAAATAATGACAACAGGAAAAATACATCTCTCGGCACGTTGGCCGCGCTATCAATACTGCGCCGACTGCGCGCCGTATCCGGTGAGAATGCGGGTGCAGTTCTATCGCGCGTCGCGTCGCGCGCGCGCGCGATGCATCGCCGAAAAAATGAGCGGCGAGATAAATCATGCGGATGGTGGGAGCGAGCGAAAAGATACAGGGCGGCACGTCCGTCTCGGTGAAATTTACTACCAATATTTTTCTTCCTCCGCCCCCGAAAACGGGGTCGAATTTACGTGTCGCGTCTCCGTCGTGCCGCCGAAACGCGCGCCCCGCGGCCCGGCCGCGAGAGGCGAGAGGAAACGCCTGGGCGCGGATATGTCTCTCTGTACCACACACGCCCGCGCGCGTGTCCGCAATATTGAGCGAAACAACCCCCCGAGTCCTCGCCCGCGAAGCGGATTCCGTTTCAGGATCCTATCTATTTCCGTACCGCGAGAGGAGAGATCCGCCAATCTCACAGAAGCGAAACTCCACCGGAACTGGTTTATTTAGGTTTATATCACCGCTGTAATTTCGACTCTGTTTAACGTTGACCGTGCAATTTAGGTCCGCGATGAGGAGGACTGAGCGTGTATTTCCTCGTGAAGTTATTATTCCAGTTGCTCTATAGTACTGTTGAATTGTATTACGTAGGCATTATTAATTGCTGAATTATATGCCTTGAACGTCCATTGTCTATTGATATATGGAAGGAGAGTACTAGTAAAGCGATTTCTAGGAGATTATAGAGGGAAGCGGTTGGCATATAATCGAGTTAAGGATTTGCTAGATTGGTGTATCGAATTCCAAACGGTCGACTCGTAGAAAATTGGAAAAGTTGCCTCCTTTATTGAGTCGATTCCGGCGCAGGGTGGATGCTCAGTCAAGATACGGCAAAAAATATTTTATTGCGGATAGGAAAACACTGCAGGGCAAAGAGGTTCTTGACAAGCGGGCGCTTGGGCGATTTAGACTTTCACGTGTAATATCATCGTCGCGGATCGATTTGCTCCTTGATATCGGTTTATTTTTGCGGCCTAACTTATGCGATCTGATTTTAAAATTCACACGCTCCAGAGGTCCGTATATTGTATATTTTACATCGCCGCACGAGACGTGGACCAATAAAAGAAATAAGGTCGCGAGAAAGGAACGCAATTTTCTTTTTACGTTTGTGCGACTTCCTGTTTACAGGTCGGGACGTTTGATATAAAATCTCGTTATTCTTAAAGGTACACGGTTCTGCGATAAGATACAGCACAGATAAGATTTATCCGAGTTATATATCTCTTTCCCTGACTGTCTCGACGTTTCCCCGTCTATCTTGCAGTTCCAATTTAATGCAGCATGAGGTATAAATGTGTGCAAACGGACGATCTTAATACTTTGTCGAGAGGACCGAGTCGACATCGCGGCGGGCGGTGTTGCGAAACATCGGCCTGGATGAACTCGCAAGTTCATAAAGTTCTAACGAGGTTCCACGGTGGTTCACCTCTCAAGGGGGCCGTACGCTTGCGAGTCCTTTCCCCTTTCACAGACTGCGTTAGGAACTGTTGAAGTTCGGTGAAGGACCCACCGTGAATTTGTGGCGGATACTTATAAAACGCTTTATTACCTTTCTTAATTATGCCCTCCTTGCCTTTCCGCCTTTTATAAAAACGCTCGACGCGCAACTGCCGCAAGTTTTATTTCGTCAACGGTGGAAGTAATTAAACAGGTCCGCCAAGTTCGCCGAGCGAGTTTATCGATTATTGAAAAATTCTCATTAGCATGCGACATTAAAGTTTTATACCCGTCAATCATTTTAAATAATAAATAAATGTATGTGTATATATAAATTTGTTGAAAATTGAATAAATTGAATAAATTTATAAGAAATGCACTTGAATTCGGCGGACCGCATTTAATATGCGCTTTAAAGTCTCGCGTTGTTTCGTCTGTTCTTCATCTCTCCCTCCCTCTTTTTTCTCGTCGTGAGGAATGAGGGAGTTTAATCTGGGGAGCGGCGAGTCTCCCGCTACCTCTTGGTAGCGCCTCATCTGGAATCGACGGCGGCGCTTAGCGCCGCCTCATAAATTCCCGATTTTACGGACGCGCATTATACTCGCCGGCGAAAAAGAGTTCGATCGGTCCGGCGCGAAAAAGCACGGTAAAACTTTCCCTCGCGCGTCGCTCGCATTATGAAACTCGACCAAGTTCGCAAAACGAGCCCGTAGCGCTATTACTCGCGCTTCGGGGATGGAATATGCGGCGCTGGGCAGAACGCCCGAGTTTTCGCGTTTACGAGGCGCGATTAAGCGTTTTATGAGTTCTATCAATTTTCGGATTCTATAGCACGCTCGCGCGCGCGAGCGCACGCGAGGATTAAGAATCGAATCGAGTCGCTTCGAGGAACCAATTGCGGATCCGCTGCGTTTTTAGCCGTCGCGAAATTATTTTTGCCCGGATACGGGCGGCGAATATGAAGAGTCCGGGAAAATGGATTTTCGTGCTTCGCGCGATTTGTATTGTAGATTGCTCGTCGCTCAGCTCTCTATTTCGGATTATTCTTGCTGCAGCGACGCGCCTCCCGTGCGGTTTCGCTTGACGATTAAAACGTTATATGTATGTCGCAGGTGTCGCGCATGGTATTAGATGTTACAAATGTGGACAGTACAACGACGGAGTTGGCAGCATTACACCGTGCATTAATCACACCGCACACATGCTGATGGAGTGCCCACACGAGGACAAATGGTGTATCGTAAGTACAACATATACATATTAATTTTCATTTCGTTTACCGAACGAAACGACGCGAAATATTTCATATGGATGTGATTACGATCACCGACGCGATCTTATGGAACGCTGCCAGAAAAATAAAAATTATATTTTACGATACGTTCTACGGTTCAAAATTGCAACGTTGTCGAAACACCCGCGCAGCTGGAAGCGGAAGAGCTCGCTGAATTCGAGTGTTCCGTGAAAAGATAAATATTTCTTTCGCGAAAATAGGCGTTGATGCGGCGCCAACGATCACTTGACACTCTTCCAGGATCGCCTATAACGACGTTATTTACCTCTCGGCGAGCTCGCCGATGTCGGATTTATGAGATGAGTCCGCGCAAATTGGCTCGAGAGTCTTCTGCAAGCTTGCACGTCCGTTCGCCAGAAAACCTTTCAGTTTCTCCTCGTCTACCGCGAAGAAGTTCGGTATATATCGTCGTGTTACTAAAAGAATTTCTTAAATTTAGAAGAGTAATTCGCGTTCCGTGGTACTTGAAGCTAAATTTATAAATATTTACTGTTAAATATTTATTAAGGGTGAAATTTAAACCAATATACCTTAATTTAAATAATATTTTGTTATTGTTAACTAACATGAGTGTCGAAATTTATTATTTTAACACAAAACAATATTATTTCAACTCCATTGGTTTAGTTAAACTAACATTGTTTTAATTGAATAAACGACATATCGAGTAAGAGTAGTAGCGACCTATAGATATGGTTAAAACTGACTCAAATTGAGTACAATTTAACACTACGAATTTAACAGTGTCCGAAGAGTCGTATCGCTTAGATGATAAATTATTTATTATAAATTATTTATTATAAAATATTGGAATATTAATTGGTAATATTCAAATATTTTAAATATTTAATTACTGAATTTAGCTATATACTTTTGTTTACTCGAACGCATATATCCGCAATGGATTTGTTTTATATCTCTACTAGTTTAAAGCGATACAGTTTTAATTCATTAATGCAAATCTAGGTGAAATACGCATAATGTACGTAACTGATTTGTGTGTACCCATTTCTCCATTAACTATATATTGCGAATGTTTGCGCTTTTCCTCTCGGTGCATTGAAATAATTTATGAAATAGCCCAAGCTCTGTATTACCGAGAACTTACCTGTCTCCTGTGATGCATGGTCGAGTTCTGCTCTCCCCTCGACGAGAGGTAAACCTCATTATTAAATCTTTCGATCCTTCCCACTCATCGCGCAACAAAGAGAACGATGAACGGCTCTAGATGGAAATGAAGCCGGAACCTGTGCTCGATATATATAATTTCGCGTTGTAATTTGCTCAGAGAAACCGCAGCTTTTCTTCTTACAATTAGTTAGAGTTCTCGCCCGTCCTTATTATCCTGAATATTTTATTATATTGTTTTCGGAGTAAATGCAGGCGAGGAGAGGAAAACATCTGCGTCACATTGAAAAGTAAAACCGGCTAAGCCAAAAACGAGGAATAAACCGGAGGGATTTATTGGAACAAGAACGATCAATATTACTTCGCGATTCGAATATAAGGGGATCAATGGCCTATGTAACGTACGTTTAGAACGCAAATGAGATTTCTGCGCATAATAAAATCTCCTGAAATCTCTTGGAATTTACTTCGAATGTTCTACGGAGTCGGCAAGCGAGGTGGAGTTGAGGTCGATGATAGTCCGTCTGTGTCTGCGACAATGGGAAACGATTGGAAACTCTCCGACTCGTCTCGGGGTGAAACGGCACGGAAGCCATTTTCTCGCGGCTCTATGAATCGCGAAGTTTACATCCGCCGTCTTAATAAAACGGTACGATCTAATCAGCATAACGGCAGAAGGTTCTCTCGTTGCTTTGTCAAGCTAAGTGAGGCGGTGTTCATCCGCAATGAATTTCCTCGCTCTTATTCCCCGGCTTTTCTCCATTATCTTCGCTTTTCTTTTCAGGATACATCCCTTTCTATCTTCTTACTTATTTCGTTTTCGTGTCGCGAACATGAAAGCTCGCACACTGAATCCAGATGGAGTATTAACACGGAGTTCAAAGAAATCGATCAGTAACGATTCGAGTCATCCTTCACGATCCCGTTTCAATAGAATGAAAATGGGGTGGTCATTTGTCAGCTAATAAGGAATTTAAGAAGGCATGACTATACCTTGCGTTAAGAAACCATGCATATCTGGGATTTTTTTTTTAAATTGTCAACTTTATTCAGATAAATGTTTTCTTATTTTTAAAAATATTTTTTATAGAAATAATAAAAATTTTTTGATAAAAAAATAATGAAAAATATTCGGCTTCCATACAACAGTCATCGCAAAATAAAAGTTTTTACGAAAAATTGACAACATATCTTTTATATTCTTCATTATTTTTTGATAAAAAAATTCTTACTATTTCTATGTATTTTTTTTAAATAAGAAAACATTCATAAAATAAATATAGAATAAAATTTACAATTTTTTCCACACAAATAATCTCAGAATCGCATGTTTTCCTAACGCTTCCAGGCTTTCCCCGTTAATGTTTATTCGCAAAATATATTAATTACTTTGGCTATTTATTATTCTACAAATAAATATTTATATGATTTTCTTTGGAACACCAATACCCTTTGTATATGTGTGTATATGCGCAATCAAGGGAATCATTCCCGATGTCTAATTGATTTTAATCTCCTTTCTTTCAACCTCGTTACTGCATAAGCTTTCGCTCTTCGCGAAAGGACGATGAAGCAAAGAAGAGTGTAAAAAAAAAGATCCGCAACGTCGTTCATGATTCATGACTGCAAGTAGCGGCATGTTGATCGTCGTTCAATGGTCAACGTTTCACCGATTATTTTTCGACGGTACTGGATTCGAGAGCTTCGCACAGGTGGGGAGCCGATCATTTGTAACTGAATGCTCTCCGTGCACGCGATAGCGGCCGTCGGCCTCCGAAGTCTCCTCGATTTCGAGGTAGCCGACAATCTGCGGCGGCCAAGCGGAGTTCGATGCCTCCGGGCCGCCCGCGCCGAGGTGCATTCATTGCAGGCACTGCATTATTTACGCACGTGCTCCTGTCGCTTCCCCTTAGTGCACCGCCGCCGGGCATTCCGATTTGGTTTTCAAATTAGTGCCAATTGCATATGTCGTGTCGTATTAATTAACATTTAGCTGCGTTATCGGCTGTGACAGACCTACATCTGTACATCACTCTGGTGAAAGCATATCTTCTCTCTCTCTCTCTCTTTCTCTCTTTTGCCCATTTTTTTTTCTCTCAAAAATTGATGGTATCTGTAACGATTTGATGGACGAAACTTTTGACACGTTTTAATGTTTTGAATTCAATTCAATCATTTGATCCATCACGTCGGTAAAAACCGATCGCCATCACCCAGCGACCCATTAACGTGCAATGGACGTGTAATTATCTCGAATCGAATTAAAACAGGTACACGAGTACACGGGATAAAATCTGAAATTCGTGCGAAAGCGAAGCATCAGAATGATTCTCACATAACAGCTTTCCTGCTGATCGTTTAATAAAGTAAACAACGGTTGCTCTGAAACTCCAGCGTAAATTTGGTTTATACAACGTAATAATAATGGTTGTCTAAAAACCGAGGTATTTAAAATAAACTTGTAATTATTTATAAAACAATTGGTAACAAGAGTTACGGGATCATTTTAATGACCTATCATAATTTTCAGTGTCAAATATTCTTGTTGAAAGTTTTAATAATATTTGAGATCGTGATATTTCTTGTTAAGCTGACTTTCTTGTTAGTGAAAACTGTCTTGTTACTTCGAAGAAAAATTGTTGGAAGATTTTTTAAAAATTCTATTTGCGCAGTCTTATAATGAAAAAGCTGCGTTAGTTATTAACTCTTGGTAACTCTCCCGAGTTTACCTATACTAATGCAATTTTTGTCGTAAAAATAATCTTCTTTTAAATAACGGAGGACATTTGCGTTTGCACAGCCATCGTTACTTATTAACGCCGGATACACTTCTCAGATTTCAGAGTCACGTACTATTATGAGACTATTTATATTATATGAGAAGCCTTGGTACGGAATATCTAAGTGTTATGTTCGTTTTTATGAACAGTTTTATATCGCGGCCGTTTCTATAATAAATATGTCAAAATAGATATATCTCCGATAAAATTATTTCTGTACCGTCAAGCTTGCTCGGTAACATAATCGCCGCCCTGTTCATATTTCGATTAAAAATACACACGTTCCGTATTCGTCTCGTTTGGTTAGCAAAACAATCTAAAGTTGCCAGCAGTTTTCATGTTATATCTTCACGATCGTCGCGAGATTGTTTCTTTCTGCCGAAGAGTCGGCAACAATATTTCCATTTTCTTCAGATTTTTCTGTTTCAAAGACACTCACGCCCCAGAGCGCTGTCGAAAGTACCGCACAGATAAATTTGTGGATTTCTCCGAAACCGCGAGGAGGAATACGGGAATTTTCACTGAGCCCAGGTTGGCTTTGCCACCGAAATCGGATCGCTGCTCTCTTTATCTGCCGTTCGACGGCACACTTTTTTCACCTCGCACACGATCCGGCGTGTTCGTCTCGCATCTGCATAGAGATTGGATGGCGGCGGTATATATATTTCGGTTTGAGAGTGCGAAAGCTTAATATTCGTCCATCGCGAATCTGCGAGAATCGTGCGGAATCGAATGAAACGAGGTTGACGGGAAAGCTTGGGCGATTTTTCATTTTTCGACGATATAAAAGCATCATCTTTATTGTCCTCGACTAGAAACGACGAGGAAAGACTATAAAGATTTCAGGGCGAATTTATGATCGACCGATCTTTCGCCGACTTAAAAGTCACGGTCGTTCACGAAACTTCTTTATCACGGGGAGTGCGACCGTTTTCATAATTGCCGCTATTTCCGTGCGATACGAGAGGCGAGTTAAATGCCAGACGTTGTATTTCTTCCTGATGTATGCGAATTTTTATCAATGCTGAAAATTTACGACCGAAAAACTCTATTTATTATTTAGTTTTTTAAAATTGCTTTAGCAGAGATGCTGTACTCCGCAAAAACCTTCGGATTTTTCTATCAGCCATGCACGTACGTGCCGAATCAGTAATCTTGTATCTTTATAGTATTCAATTAAGGTGCCGAATAATGCCATTGCCGAAATGTTATCTTGGATCTAAACGATCGCCGGGATTTCCGCAATTTCCGTTCGAGAATAATTTCGATTCTTCGCGAAGAGAGACCCCGCTACTCTTGAATAAGCAACCCCTTTCGGGATACCCTCGAACATTCAAAGCTTTATCACTGATTTCTGATTAGCTCTTATTTGTGGATTTCGCCGGGTGGTTTGCGTGTCGAGCTTTCTCATTAAAGAGAATTAAAGAGAAAGAAAGGTGGACCTTATATTTCTTTGTGCGCAACTTTCTTCAAAACCCGCGGGATTTTAATCAACGTTGAGTTGGGACTTTTACGGCTTTGACAATTAATCATTGGATTTTTCACTTTAATGTTCCATGCGTCGCTGCGAAAGCATATTAGCCTCGTTAATAAAATTAGCCATTGATTCTGCTTTAATCGACTTCAAAGTAAAGTAAATAATCAGCTATCACAATCTAAATTTTCAACAGCGCCGAATTGAACGATTAGGAACAAACGGAATTTAGAAGTATTTCTAATATTTCCGAGTCACAACGTCGCTGTCCAATCTCGTCGGGAAGTTAAGCGGAAATGCCTTTCCAAATCATCTACATTCCCTTACTACGTAAAATCCCGACAAAGGTCAGAATGATAAATCGGTGAACGTTCGAAATGTGGCACGCACAGCTGACGTGCACGGTCAGGAGTTCCGCGGTCAGGAGATCGGGCGCGGGCCGGTTTTTTTTCGGGCCGCGATCGCCCCGCCGGAAAATGGGGTACGTTTTTCTCCCCCCACATCGTCGTTTCTCCCCGTGATTCATCATCTCGGCGTGGCCGTTCCTTACGGGTCTCCTCGACTCGATGGCCTCACGAGCGCCGCTGATTTTCGCGCGCTAATATCGACGTATCGCCCGCGGCGACTTTTACAAACTCGGGACTCGATGAATCGAAATGCGTTCGGATATTATGAATTAATTGCTCGAGATAAAGATAAACGATGGAATCACGCGGAGTCTTAACGGATTATTCTTTAAGCGCGAGTCGCTTTCGCGGAATTTAATTTCGACGTCACGGCAATAGATGGAAACGTGACTCTCGCACTGTTAATGCTAAATTGCCGCTTTTATGCCTTGTATTCCTCTCGCGTTTTTTTTGCTCGCTTCATTAAACGCGATTCACTCGAACGCTATGGCTCGCTGCCCACAATTTTGTGCACCGGCGAGTCTCCGAGTAATATAATCGACACGTGAAGTAAGCTTTGAGAAGCAAATTGGAAATAATTACAACGTATTACACACGAACGTAATTACATCCTGCTTTACATCAAATATGACTAAAAGCTCCACAGTTCTCTCTCCCTCTTTCGAAAGAGGAGATAAAACCTAGAGTGTTGGTTATTATTATATATTACACACAATTAAATTATATTAAAGTATTTTTGCGTTTAATGCAAAATTGCAGTCGTAGTTATTATCAATTTTATTATTACAAATAACGTAATGAGAGGAGCGTCTAATTTAGCTAACATTTCTGACGCAAAGGGTTGAAACTTTACTGCGATAATTGAGCGACGACCACCGCAGCGCTTGCCGCATCGGATTTTCATAACGCGCCTCTGCGCTGGCTGGTTTTTATCGCGAAAAAAGAGTTAAAAAAAAAAGAAGGAAACAATTCGGCCTGCCATTTTCGAGCCAATAAATCGTTGCGCGGAAGTATGTAACAGTTTGCGCGCTTAAACTGCATCGAACGTGACTGAGCGCGCGCGGCGAGATGACAGGCAGAATTGCATACCCATACGCATACGTGCATCTATAATTCAACCTCTGCCGATTTAATTG